TACTGCAACCATACTACTACACTGTTCCCATATAAGTGATTTTGAAAATAATTTTTTTCCCTTGATATAGACTTTAATAGTTAGGAGGTTCAGAGGTCCTTTCAGTGGATGTGAACTAATTATGATATCACGAGGGGGTAACGTTTTCACATCCATTGAAAGGACCTTTTTCATAATCGAAAGGTTGTATGTTTTAGTCAACGCAGAACAAAACATGAAGTAAAAATAAAATAAGAGAGGAATACGCAATTGTAAATGTATTGGATGAGTGCGTAGACGATAACAAACGATGTACCTTAAATTGTGGTTAACAAAAAGAACGTATATTCCTGTATGGATCAATAGCTCGTGATTGTGCGCAAGCGTGGAGGCTTGTTTTTCAAAACTGATTATCCTTTCAATGGGAATTTGTTTTTAATGCTTCCTAATGTTCTTGAAAGGATGAAAAGTTATTACCTCGAATTTGATGTTCGTTGCCTTTGAATATGCGCGCTTTCCAAAACGCATCCCACATGGAAAAGAGTAACCATGGAGAATTACACCTTGGTGAAGCAATAAAAATATCAGGTCTCCTTTACGCTTCCCCCGAGCTTCCTGATGATTCTGTAGTTCCTCCCGGGATAGCGGTGTTGAGTCCGAAATCTCCAGCGTAGCCGAAAGTCCATACGACGGTTCAGCACTCGATKTCTGGAAATATGGTMCTGGYTATGAAACAATCRATAATAATATAAACAAACCATTTTTCTGACACGAGAGACATTTTGRAWGTGCACACGCGAGACCACACATAATTTTATGTCTTCATGCAAGTGTAAATATTCATACCTAATTTTACAATTGGACTATTATGAATCTACGGTCAAAGATTGCAATACTGCACTGCACGAGGAGACTACCCTGCGAGTGATGTGAAGAGTATTTACRATTTTTTGTTGGCATTTTAAAKAACTTTTCAGTCGAAAACTTCATTCTTTTAAAGCATTCCCTTTCATTGTCTATGTATACAMATCWACAATACAAGTATATTTTAAACARACATAAAATATACTMMCGCWATATTGGGTKTTTTTATTAGGTCCTTTCACTGGATGTGAACTAACGAGAGACCACGAAGGAGGAACGGCTATTTCACATCCCTAGTAAAGACCTAATAAAAACATCCAATATTGCGGGAATACATTTTATGTGTGTTTAAAATATACTTGTAATGTTGATTTGTATACATGGTTCTCTCTCTAGATCAAAAGAAAGCTGATACACGAATATGGTTTAGGAATTGATCACCAACCTCAAAGGTCCTTTCACTGGATGTGAACTAACATAAGACCCACGAGTGTGCGGCTATTTCACATCCCTTCAAAGGACGTAATGAAAATAGCCGATAAAACGTGAGTACAATTTTTTTTTTCTGTGTTTAAAATATAATTAGATTGTATATATGTATCTGCTTCTCTATCCGAATAAAAGRAAACTTAAAAGAGGAATGTGGTTTATTGATCACCAACCTCAAAGGTCCTTTCACTGGACTATGTGAACTAATCATGAGACCACGAGCAATGAGCCGCTATTCCACATCCATTCAAAGGATCTAATGGAAAAATCCAATAAAACGTGAGTAACACTTTTTTATCTGTGTTTAACATATAATTAATGGAGAAACTCTTATAATAATATAAATTTTGCCGCCAAAAGTCCAATTGTAGTACCCAATCCCTTAGAGGAGGGGAAGGTGTGAGTAATGGCGTACAAGTGCCTTGCGGGTTGATACTTTTGATGCTCGTAAAACTATTACTTTTTACGRCAAAAACCAAACAAATGACACCATTGATACCTATTTCACTTGCTCTTTTAGAATATTACGGTTTT